GAGATGCGAGGAGTGATTCTGCTGATTATCATTGCTTTCGATGCTTTGAGTTGGGATGCTTTGGAAGTTAGAGGAAGAAGGCATCACTTTGTTATTGTTGCTTATCATGCATTCCATTTGCGAGATATTTTGACTGTTAGGGTTGTTGATGACGTTGTTGTTGTTACTGTTGCTAGCGTTGTTTAAGTATAATAATGAACCACTAATGTTACTTTTGTTGTTGGTGTTGTTGTTGTTGCTGCTGGTGCTGTTGTGGTTGTTGTTGTGGTGGTTGTTGTTGTTTAAATGCAACAAACGCTGACTTTGCGACATTCCACTGGGAAAATTCGAAGAGGTAAATTGTTGATGCTGGGAGAATGTTGTCGTTTCAAGTCCACAGCGTGTTGCGGGCCGGTTGTGGTTCATGAGATCGTGATAAATGGCAGACCTCGAATGATGACCAACTTCGTTATTGGCTAACTGGTGTTGGGTCATCATTTGGTTGCCGTTGAATATCGTTTGATTATCGTATTGGCTGCCTGTGTGGACATCGCTAAAAACAGAGCTACATCTTTCTTGACCGATGCTGCCAGAATTCTTGGCAATATCATTTGCATTTATTTCATTCATAGTCTTGGAAGATTTTTTGGCTCTGTTAGATTTCTGGATGGCACCACCGACCGAAGGAGCCACACTTTGACACTGCCGACTGAAGTTAGTGCTGTCCAAAGGTCTTGCATTAACAACATCTTCAGGAGAGTAATTAGTTTTTTTCATATATGCATCATTAGAGCAGTACTCTTGTGATGACGCATGTACATTTTGATGTTTGTATACGGCTTTTTGTGGTTGTTGTAAATTATGAAGGTGACGATTCATCATAGCGTCACCGACAGGATGGCTGTTGTCATTGATGATATTTCGGTAAACGGGGAAGGGCAAAATGGGAAGTTGCGGTTCCTGCTGCTGAGGAGAATAAGGATAACTGAAACTGTTCCTATCGACAACGGTGTGGTCATTTCTCTGACAAGACGATACATGAGACGGTTGAATTGCGTGAGATGCACATTTTAAAGATGTCTCTGAAACACTGCCAGCCGCTCGTTCCACAGCCACAACGGTGCAATCGTCGTCTTCTGAATTGTTTTTTACAGAATTTGACCATTGCTCATCTTCCATTTCTTGCAACGTGTTTCTTACGCTGTTAGGAAAATAGTTTTGATTTTTGATTGGAGAATATGCAGTCGGACCGCCGACATCTAACTCCGACTGGTCGCTTCTGACACTTAGTTCCACGCCAGCATCGTATTTAATAACTGAATGTTCAGAGTTGGGATTTTCCTTTTTGAGATCAGGAGGGGAGGGAGAAAGTGAAGTGACCCCGACAGATGAGGCGGTAGTAGGAGTGACTACAACCCCATCCATCCAAAAACTTGATTCATCGAGACTGGGCATGTCTGAGTCAAATGATTGAGTGGTTTGAGGCGGTTTGTTGTTCAAAGATTCTGTGATGACTGGAGAGTTGCTGGAAGCGTTTTGCTTGGTGGCAAAATTTGATACCAAATTGTCATTTGTGATATCATTGGAGTCAGGTGTCTTATTTTGATTTTTCGAAGCCTCCGTGTTTTCTTCGTTGTAAATATTGTTAGGAGAGCCATCAGGCTGGCATTTCTGCTGATCCTTAAAAATATTAAATTATAAATATAATATTAATTTTAAAGTATAATTATAATATTAAACATAATATCATATTTTGAAAACATAAATTGTAACTCAAAGTGTTGAACAATTTTATGGCAGACAAAGAACACACATTCCACTACTTGTTAAACAGAAAGGCATCAGATGATGCAGCTTCAAACAGAATGCAGCACATGTTCTAGAAGAACGTGGTGATACTGGCCAACAATTTAGCTTGGAGTTCTTTCAAAGAAATTTTAAATTGTTTACTTTTGCTAACAGATGAAGCACTTTAGTGAAGTCAACAAAGGCTATGCGAGTAATATAGGACGACATTTTTGCAGTTGACACAGCAGAAAGTTGCATCGACTGCTGGACAAGCACGTCGCAAACCTCACCTGAATTCCGGATAGAAATACAAAAGAGTCAAAAGCCTAAAGTTTAAAAGCCTTCAACTCGACAACTTGGCGGAGACCTGTCCTACAGCATCCATTAGCATTATTCCTCTATAGATTGTGCACTCTTTGTTTCTTCTTGGACGCTGTTATCATGTAGGCTATTGGCATGTCGAAAAGAATGGATCATTTGCTTTAGCACAAGCAGAGAAGCTCGTTAAGAAATTGTTTGTTATGAGATGATTTTAGTTTCACCCACCAGAGATAAAAAGAAAAGTTAGTCATATCGAGCAACGCCTTATCGAGCACAAATCAGCATTATGGAATGGTTTAAAGACAACTAAAAATTTAATGAAATAAAAACCTTCATTTGCGAATCATCTGTGATGTTGTGGTCAGATGCAGCACCAATATCATCCTCCATGACGTCATTGTGATCAACATCAACGTCTCCGTGATCGTTCATGATGACGTCATCACAAACATCATTATCACGTCTTCTCTCCAAGCATTTCTTTTTTATTTCATTATTAAACATATCATCATCATCGTCGGCAACACTCGCATCCATGTCATCATCTTTGAATTTTTCATTGGAACTCTTGCGCTTCCTCTCAAGAGTGTTGTTGGAGTTGGTGGACGGCGGGGAGGTTGCTTGCTTTCCATCATTTCCATCTTTGCCGCTGTCTTCAGCTCCATCACAAACCTTCTGATCACCATCAACATCATCATCGTCAATGTCTTTTTCGCTTGAGGTCCTTTCATTTGTCTTATCTTCAAAATAATATTTTTACAGATTAAATAAGAAACAAAAACAACGATTTGAGATATTAAAGAACTTGCAAGGCCTCGGCAACTATCTTTACCGTTACTTTTGCTGTTGAACCATTATCACTATTGTGTACATATACGTGAATAATGTTATATATCTGTGCGTGTACTAGTGCATGCATGTGTATATTTCGATGTGTGTGTGTGTATGTGTGCATATGCACATATGTATGCATAAACATAGATATAATAACACACCAAATGTATTTTCAAATTATAAAACAATAGGTTAATAAATTGATACAGATAAGAGCAGAGATAGGTTGAAGCACTAACAATATGCATGACGCAACATTCTTTCAAGCAGAGCTCGTGGACTGCAGGGATGGTCGTCACCACTGCCCGATCTCTTATATATGTTATGTCGTTTCTAGAGCAAAATAAATTTCCTAAATTTATTTTCTTTTCAACAGTACAGTTTGGCACCAATAGAAATTACATAACAAACTGCAAATAAACCGAATGATAAAGAGAGTGTTTTAGTCTAGAAGTATAACCATCGAAAAAAAAATTTGAAAAGGATTATTTAAAATTTGGCACCCATCAAACCTTATAATCAAACTTCATGCCAGTACGGTTATAATGGTAATGGTCATCCTCTTCTTCTTCCTCATCGCGGTCAGCTTCATTCTTAGGTAGACGGCCGCGAAATGATGATGATGATGAGATACAGTCGGCATCTCTGAATGAAAGTTTTTTGAATGGAATGAAAGGATTAGAGGAGGAAGCATTGTTGGCCAACAGACACCTCTTCATATCACATTTCTGCTCCTCTGTCATTATTATTCTTGCTCTGTTGTGTTGTTTTTAGTTTTGTTTTTTATTTATTATTTTTATAACTTTTAATTTTTCATAAATATATATTATGAGAACAATTTTTACAAATTCAACAAAAAGACTGTAATAAATGAATTGTCCTAGGATCGCAAATGAAGGCAAAAGTGCAATGAAGAGTACCAACTTGTTAAATTGAAATTCAGATTCAAGTTTCAAGTTCTCAAAGGCGAGTAAAACATCAGATTGATTCATGCTGCAGCATTTAACAAGTTCTGTACAAATTTGTTTCAAATTGGATTGATCAATAGCCTTCATTAATAATTTATATTATAAGTGTACAATAATATAATGTATATGTATATAATAAGACACTTTTTGATTAAATAAATTTAATGTCAGATATATATATAAATGAAGTGTTCCGCTTTTTGCTTCATTCCAAGCCAACCTTACCAGTCACCTTCACCCAACACTAATTCTATCTGCTCTCATTGCTAAATGACATCCTTTATACATTGTCACACTCACTGTTTAACATCTGCATTTGGTTTCTCTACAATTTCCTTCTGTTTCCTATTGTCAAAGTTCACGTCTACAACAAAGATACAATTTTTCATACGTGCCTTTAGACAAGTTTAATGGCATACAAACGGATGTAGTTCACTAAACATGATCTAAGCATTCATTAAATTCCAAGCCTTTTAAAAATCACACACAAAAATCCACCAAACTCCAATCAGTTTTTTATCTTCCAGACCCCACATTCTCCGATTATTCTCAAACGCTTCATTTCCATGGCGTGCCTCCATCTACTTAATCTAATCAATAAATTTCAAACTCGGTCGATTATTATCTGTACATTGTGAGTATTAAAAAATAACAAACATTGGATTGAATGCTGATTTTTTCTGCAACCTAGTATCCCACTCACACTAAATCGGTTTTCCACATTTTCTTCTATTTTCATAGATGTTTTTCAACTTAATTTAAAACATCCATTCTATCAAATCATTCAGACAACAATAGATTTATCGCTATCTTTTGAAATTTTTCTAAAAGTAACCACCATATTAAATAATCCACAAAAGCAAATAATTCCTATCTTATATTCAGCTTTCAGATCAGAGCCCCAGTAGATCAAAAAACAAAATCCACTTCTACACTTATCAATAATATTCTTACAACATTCTCACTCCATAAAACAGCCTCACTCCTAGGACCCTTCTTCGATTATTAATCTTTCCATATTACTTTTTACAAACATTCCATACTGTTATGATATAATTTCCTTGCTGTTCCTTAGCCAGTCCACCCTGCATTCCACCACATATCTTCACCACTGTAGCAGCTCTTCAATAATCTCTAATATTTGAGTGTTCGTCATTTCAGTCTTTTACCCGTTTAATAATCTTGCTCTCAAGCGATTGCGATCTCTAATCAGCTTTTCCATATTTATAATTTTCCATATCTCTATTTTCAGTCAGTTTCTATATTTCTAATTTTCTTACTTCTAATTTTCTATATCTCTATTTTCAGTTCGCATCTTTTTGTATTCTTCAACATATACATGCATTATAATATCTTGTAAGTAAATCACATGTAATGACAAAGAGCGTAAAAAGATGACCTTCAACATTGAACTGCAGTTCTTTTGAACTAGTGAAATGTTCAACAAGAACATTCTTCCAAACAGTGAGTAGCAGGTTGTATAGAGTATCCTTCAATGTTTTGGTCACGTGCACCACTGTTTCTCTTTTCTGGATGCTGGCCAAGTGATATACTGTGAGTTGGATTTCAAATAAATTTTAATAATTGTCTGCATGTTGGCAAATTGTCCAAACATAAAAATAAATGTTTACACGAAGGTTATATAAATGCAAAAGAAATAAATTAAAATTAAAAAATAATACACACTACAGTCCACAAGACCTTTCAACAGAAACGATCGGCTCTGGAGCAACGACCTCCCTGTGGTGGGGCCGATTGGTGCGGAAGTAGATTCACTCTACCAGCCACATCAACAAACAGTTGCAGTATACCCTCCCCGACACCATTTTATCGTGTTGGCTTTTCGCCAAAAGAGCAGACAATGCCGGCCTGCCTTCTCCGTATTCTTCTGCTACAAGCCGACGTTGAGTTAAATCCGCGGCCGAAGATATAGATCTGTGCAGTTCGTGGTAAGAAATCAACAAGACATAGTACCCCGTCAGAGGCAGAACTTGCTGCAACTGGTTCCATATGGAGAGCTGTGCCACTCACCACAAAAGCTGCCACATCTGCAACAACTGCCCCTTCAGGAACCCCAAGTACGACGGTGCAAGGTACCTCGTTAGGTCGACCATCTTCCTACAACAAAACACCTTCCAACCGAGTCAATAGCAAGGCTTCCTCTCACTCGACCAGTTTACTGAAAATCCTCCAATTCAACTGCAATGGTCTGAAGAATAAGAGTACTGAGATAGCACACCATCTTCATACACATAACATTTCTGTTGCCGCAATCCAAAAAACAAAGCTCTCTCACGCTCTGGGGACCCGATATTCAACGAATACGTCCTTTACCGGAAGGACCGTATGGGCGGTCGGAGCGGCGGCCTCCTGATGTTGATCCACCACAGCATTCCTTTTGTCATAATGCAGCTCCCGGAAATTGACACCGTATAGAGCCATGGGATCATCATCATCAGGACGGACAAGAATACAGAGATAAATATACTCAACATCTACATTCCCCAACAATCAGCCTGTACACCACTGTGCTTCGATCGCAGACTATCTTGATATTCCCAACTTGATCCTTCTGGGCGACCTGAATGCACACGACGAGCCGTGGCATTCAAGCAATTTGCGACCCACGCAGAGAGACGCTGGCGGTCGAGGTTGATGAATCCAACTGCTGTATCCTCAACCTTGACTCCCCTACTCGTCTTCTCCCTTCAAATGACATTAAAAGACTAATCAGAATAGAACGGAATGATTGATACGAAAGACAATAAAGGCAACTTCAACCCATACTAATTGAATTCAAAACTCACACAGCAAAAAATAGTGTTTTGGAGTCATTGGGAAGTCTGAAAGCTGAAAAAATTAATTCAAAAATATGTGTAGCACAGGACCTGACCAAATCAGAAAGAAACCAATGTAGAGAAACAGTAAAGGCACCAAAAAAGAGAAACAATTCAGGGAATAGAAATATGTGCCAAGAGTGCATCCTGGCCAAACAAAAGTTCATAACTAATCGGCAATACAAATTATTCCAAAAACAATCAAGACAAAAGAAAAATAGAGACCTGATGTAGAAGCATTAGGAGCATTAATAATAAATTTTTAGCTATAAATGATGTAAATAGATCTGTAATTAAGAATGCAGACTTTTTTTGTCTCATGTGTTATATAATTTTTTATCTTAGTCGATTTTGTTTTTGGTGACCCTACAAAGCTTGAATCAGGTTTCCAGCTTTGGATACAAAAAACTGAAATGTATTCAATTGAATTGAATGGTCAATATAAACTATTAAGTTTAATACACATTTAATTCAAATTCAATTTAATTGTTTAATTAATGTATATATACATGCGCGCACACACAAAACAAAATGTTCAACAAAATCACCTAGGTTAAGAAGACATTTAGCATGACCCTGGTTCCGATATTGAGGAAGAACAAAGAGACAACTTACCATCCACTTGCCTTCATGAAGACAGTCCTAAATAATTGAATTATTCTAAAATGATTCCAAACAGCAATAGGATACTTTTGAAAAAAGAAATGTAAAATCTTAAAACTGAAAGCACAAGAAAAAGCAGTATCCTATAAATTCTACCAAATTTTTAGCATTAATTGATCTTTTTAATCTTTTTGATGTTTCTCACTAAGATTCTTTGAAAATTGTCTAATTCATTAAAGTATAAAAAGCAATTATAATTCGAATTCATTGTGCAGACAAGCTTATTTTGATTCTAATAAATCATCTTCAGTGTGGATGGAAATTATAACGTTTTTAAATTTGGTAGAAAGGTTGATTTAACTCTAAATTAATAGAAAAACTCAACTATAAGTTGAATAATTTCAAAAATGCAGTGATTTTTGTAAATTATAATTGTAAGTATACAAGACAGTCTCAACTGAATATTCCTTACAAAAAACATCAACCATCACTGACATAATTGATGTGGATGCAAAACAAACGATGCTAATCTATTTCACTTAAGAAACACTTTTGAACTTTATAAAAAATATAAAATAAGAATCTAACGTAAGAAAGTATTCCAGCCAAATGTGATCCAGACCTATCTTGAATTGTTAAAAGAAAGTAGTTTATATTCTCTGAAAAATTTTTGGCATGGGATTTGTTGTCGATGGAAATGCTAATCTGATCAGGAACATCAGAGTTTTGTTGGTTGTCAACATCAGTCCTTAGCGTTGCATCAACATTATGATTACCATCCATCACGGAACCAGCTTTAGCATTCTTGTGCTTCAAAGCAGAATGGTCCACGATAAAAAGAATCTGAAGAAGTCTTTCAAGTTGTTTACAGTAGGTTGGTTGTTGTTCAGATTGCACGTGGAACAACTTGATGTCACTCTCTCGGAAGATTTCAACTCCTGGTGGACAGTGCTGGCCACATTTATTCTGCAGTGGCAGTTGGTTAATTTTAAATAAATGAATATATCACATATTACATTTACAACGGAATTTTACATGACAATTGTTAACAAATGAAAACAAACAAAAAGCAAACCAACTAAAATTTGAAACAAATATTTGAAAAAATAACTGAAGCATTTAATATAAAGCCAATGTAGCTAACCACATGTCTTTCTAAGCATTTGTTACTTTCAACTATGGCCAAACAAAATTCACAAATCACTAATTTCTTTTGTCTGAGAAATAAAATTTATATCAAATTTATAAATGTGACTATAAAGAACTTCATCTCTGAAAATTCGCTGAAAACGTCAACAATGCCAGCATTCACCACATCTTCCTCCAAATCATTCCAAAGTTTAACAACCCTGATGATAAAACAAAATTTTGAATGTTCTTAAAACATGTTGAGTTGACAATTGAAATACGCATTCTCTGGTACTTTCGTCCCATGCTCCCATCAACTACTGGACCAAGATCATGCTACAGACTGCCACCAAACCTGCCCTGATCTCTTCGTTTTATAGTGTAGGAAAATTCAATCTCTCTAGTCTGCTAGTGCAGTTTAATCCTTTGCATTCATGAACAGCTTGTTAATTCCTTTTATTGTACTCACCATGTAACATTCCACAGAGACCACACACAAGCAGCATAATTAATTTTTGACCTCACCAAAGAATAATGAAATCATAAAAATAAATTGAAAGACAAATTTTAAAAATGACGGCACACCAATCGCAATCCTGCAACACTTATTTATACATTCACGAATGTTTCTATACAATTTCAAACAGGTGTTGTCTTTGATAAGTTGTCCCTCATCTGATCTATTACATACCACCTCAGTCACTTGTCTTTATTTTTTATGAATAAGCTTCCTTCTATTTGTTTTACACTCTTCTTTTTCAATTTATAGCATGCTTTTTATTAACCTTTTAAATGTTATTTAATTTTCAAGCATGACTCTTGAATTAATTGGTTGTTAACAGTGTTTCAACTTTGTATGTTGGTTTGAAATTTCCAATTGTTAAATCTATGTGTAGGTATATATCTGAATATATCGACATTATGCAATTGTTTTTTTTAAACCAAGCCTTAAAAACTGATCAATTAAGAATTAGCCTTGTTCATTGATGAAAAATAAAGTTCAACAATAATAACAGGAATTTTAAGAAGCAATAAAAACCTTCTGAGAAACAACAACAACAACACACGTTTAGACGGCATTTTCCCCGAGATCGGGGGTTGCCGTAAAAAAAAAAAAACCTTCTGAGAAAACAACAAATAAATGTTAAATAATATGAAAAATTGAAAGCTAAACAATAACGATGGCAGAAATGGAAAATGAAATATAAATGAATGCAGATGAAACGTCAGCATGAATTTTTAACTCCAACCTCATCTCTTCCATGCTTGCTGTGTTGTTGGTAGAAGTCAACAGATATCTACCAAATGCTACACCAGCCGACGGCCTGGTGCATGCTGCCTGCGTGTATATTTATTTCAAAGGATTGTTCATAAAATAGAAAATTAAATAATAATTTGTATTTGCGATAACAAACTATTTTCGCATCGTCATTTATGCTTTACTCTCAATAAGAAATCACCAAATAATTGACAAGAAATCAAACCAAAAAACAAAACAATCTTCATGAAATGATACAAAAAAATTTCTCTTATTTTGAACACATCCACATCCCACAACACACAGACACATTTATACCAAAACTAACTGGAGGAACATTAGATCTGAGGAACATGTTCTCATCGTGTTCTGTGATGGAGGCCAGGTTAATCTCATTGCAATCAACCTCATCTGCAGAAAAAAATTTTAAAGTGTAATACCATCAAAATGATCATCCTCATTTTAGAATACGACAGTGAACAACAAAAGGATATTTACACAGCCACTAAGACTATTTATTTTTTTCTGAAATGTAATTCATGCTTCTAAAAAAGATTTTTCGTTTGGCAATTAAATGCTACAAAAATGATGATAAAACAAAGAGTGAAAAAATAGCAGCAAAATAATTTGAGGTGCAGTTCTTCTTCATCCAGGTGTTCATTATGCAAAACTGGTTTATAAATATATTATATAATTTACATTTTAGGTCTCATGTCAATCAATTATTTTTTTTTATTTTAACTATCCAACAATTATTTATCACCGATATTAGTTTTCAAATTCAGAAATAATTCATTACTCTTTTTTCTTAACTGCTTTCAATTTAAATCAAGTATCCACAACCTAGCAACTAAACATCAGACCATTTTTATTTTTACCTTGTTCAATTAAAATGAACTCCATTAAGTATTTTTATTATTGACCCAGTATTACAGACTGGGATCAAAATAATTAATTTTTGAAAAAGTGGCAGAATTTTAACACATAACCTCTGCCTTTGTTGTTTTTGGATTGGATCTAGTGCACAATTGAATATAACCACAAAAAATGATGAAGTATTTGAAACTTAATATCTTGCAATGTTACATAAGTTTTGAGAGTGCTTATAGTTTTCATTGCCACTTCTTAGCTAGTATTCCCTGGATCCAAGTTACCCTTGAAAAAGTAAGCAGACCACTTGTCCCAAATGGATAAGACTTTTTTAATTTTCTATACCTACCATTTGAAAATTGGAAATCATACTTTTTATGCTAGCTTGTTTTTTAAATTTATTTTCTAATTAACTACTCATTAGTTAGCTACAGTTGGATATAAATAAATCACTCAAAATATTTTATGATTCTTGATATTTTTAAAAAATGGTATTGAAAAAATGACAGAACTACAAAAAAAAGTGTAATCTACCCAAGTTGATTCTTGGCTGGCATTCAACCACATGTCCGCGATAAATATTAACATCAGTCGAAAGAGGATTTAAACCGTGAGACGATGATGATGATGATGATGCTGGTGATGAGGAGGAAGAGGAGGAAAAGGAAAGTGGACTTGACAAAGGTAATATTTTTTCTTCAGGAACTTTTTTCTTCTTTGCAACTTTTTTTTGTCTAACTTTTTGCTTTTTAATTATTTTATGAATTATCAGCCTGTTGGCAGTCTCGACATCCTCACAAAATCTCCTCCCATCATTATTTTCGTCTTCAACGTGGGAAAGCTCAACCATTCTTTTTAATTTTGATGATGAAAGTTTTTTATTTTTAATTTTTTTTTTACTTTCATTATGAATTTGATAAGGGTTTGCAGTTTTTGATAAACTGTTTTTATATAACTGATCTTCATTATAAGTTTTTTCATTTGTACAACTTCTTCGATAATTTGTCACAGAAAAGAATTTAGTCAAACTATCATATAAAAATGACAACTGGTGATTTCTTGATTTCTTTCCCTTGTTAGCAGCACAAACATTAACCTTGTTGCTATCACTGTTGCTGTCACTAATGTTTGCAAAGGAACGATGACGAATACCGTCAACTTGTTCGAAAGAAACATCTGCTGCTGCTGCTTCATTGTCACTTAACGAATGGTGGTTAGTTGAGTTTGTTGTGTCTAAGCAAAATTTAGAACAATTATTGAAATTAATGCTTGATTCTGGAGGTAGTATGTGTGAAGTTATATCTAGAGAAGTTTCATTTTCTTTTGAAACAAGAGACAATAACTTTGAAGACTCATTTCCTTTATCCTCAATGCT